GAGGAAGGGTGCGAGAAAGGCTGAACTTTCACCGAACCTTCGACTCGTCGGAAAAACAGGAAAATTTTTTATGACCCTTCCGCATTCACTCACTTTCACAAAAAAAAGTCCTTTCGATTTTTTTTTTCTCGGAGTCACTGCATTTATTCTCATTCTCAAGAACCCAAGTATTTTCGCCGTTTAAAAATGGAGAATTAACAGCAAAAAAAAAATGTAGAGCAAGTGGAATTAAAGAATGATCCATAAAAGAGACAGCAGTGTCCTGTGAGTGTCCTGATGTCAGGATTTGCATTATAGACTCGAGTTATCGCATCGCGTGGGCGTTATACAAACCCGAGATTTTTTTTTTCCAAGCCGCAGTGTCCAGGTATTCGTTCCGAGGGGTAGAGCAAGTTCCTGGGGTGACATAGCGTGGGAGATACGACACCAATTGCCTGAATCGGTATATCTGTATCTACGTACGTCAACTGGAATAAAAAAAAAAAACTCCCGAAGAGAAAAATCCCAATGACATATACCACGAACCTGATAATTTACTTCTGCTCGTTATCTACCATTCCCATCACGAAACTGGAAAAATAGGGGGTTTTTTTCCTCGATTCTACGACTCGGAATCGAGTACATTCCGTCGTAACAGCTAGGGTAATCACGTCATTCTTGAAATTCATTATTGTTTACCTGAGTGAGAGGAGTTAACTAACAAAGCACTGGTATTAGCGGATTTTACGGGAACGCTCTGTAAATATATCTCGTGGCATTTATTTGTTTTCTGAAGAAGAGAGATTGAATTTCGATTGAGTCTCAACTCGAGAACGGATAAAAGCCTGTAAAAAATCGGTAAATTTACCAGGTAATTCGTCAGGCGATTTTCTGAGACGGTTTTATGGGGATGTAACGTCGAAATTGTGTGAGTCAAGATTGTCACCCCTTCGGGGGTAATTTTCCCCGTTCTCAGATGATCGGGCAGGTCTTGACGAGAGGTTCCTCATGATTATGTCAGGTCATGATGCGTGTGCTTTGTCTCGACTATTTCAAAGGGGAAGAACGCAAAATCCCTTCGAGTCCTTATCTACGCTCGTCTCGTTACATTATCCTTGCGGTTATCACTCCTACGGTGGATCTTCTCGGTCAGGAATTCTTGGATAAATCTCGGTGATATAAATTCCCGAATTTTTTTTTTTACTCTCGATGGGATGCCAATGCGATATCCAGCGAGGAATCGCTTGTCTCACCGTCTTTAGATCGTTCGATATTTTATTTGAATTGGGGAAATACGAGTCAATGGAGTCGCCTTCTTCTCAATTTTCCATTTGTGCATTCTTTGCAACTTATCGCCACAGCATCCCATACTGTTGCCTACGAGTTGAGACGGAGGGAGTTGTAAAAGAATTTATAGCTCCAGGAATCGTATCGCAATATCAGTCTCGCGAATTTTCATCAGACGTTCTCCCCTCGCAAGTCACGAATTATTCTAGGAGAATTTACGTGTAATTCAAACTGGGTTACGCCTTATTTTTCATCGAATCTGTCATCGTCACGTAATAAATGGCATTCTGTTCATCCCGGAATGATCAAGACGAGTGCTTGGGAATAAAAAAATCCCGCCCTCAAATCCTGAGGGAAATGACGCGAAGTAATGGCTGAATTCAGAAATATTCACCCTTCATTGATTTAGAAACAACCCCCTTTACATCATAAATACAGGGAAACTCCATAAATCACGTGCTCCTTTGAAACTCCATTGTTTACGAATAATTTATCGAAATATTGCACTGCGAAACTGAAATTTAACAATTCGACGCTTTTTATCATTAAATTTTGACGAATATCTCGGAATCTGATAAAAATATCGAAATTTTTCATAAAATCATTTTTATGGGGCTGATGAAGACCTACCAAAGTTGTATAATCGAAAAATTCACCATCTCTTTTATATCCCGAGATATTCTCGAAAAACTGACGTATTGGCTGAATCGACTTGTTACTCTTTACCTGTGGATTAATCAGGGGAATAATCCGATAATAAAAAATGCCGCCCCCCCGATTCCCGAGAAAAACAGGATACTCCCAGGATTATTTCCCCGGGGGAGAGAATTTCCCATGAATTTTCCGCGGATTAATTCCACCGTCAATTTTTCACGATTTAACGCTGAAACCGTTGACACATACAACAATAATTTCTCTCTTCATCCGGCGAATTCTCATTCCTCTTTCTTTCACTTCCCCCAGGAATACTCCCTCCTCCTCATCTCGTACGTGTCCTGGGTACGGCCTACAACGAATTCTCACCAACCCTCTGCCCAGCGGTGGGTCCTTTTTCGCTGGTGAAACCAATAAGTAACGGAGGCAGGTCGAAAGAGGTCGGCACGTAAAAATGGGGAGAGAACACAGCACCAGAGAAACCAGATACATATATCTCCTACCACTACATTCAAACATATGACGCTAACTCTTCTAACCCCTACGCATTAATATTTTATTCCCATCGCTTATACGAAGACCCGTGGATTGCCAATGGCCACTCCAGAATTCTCCCGGGTCAAAAAAAAAAATTGGAATCGAAATATTTTTTTTCAAATTTTCACAAAATTTCTGGAAAACTTTCCAGATCATTTTTTTTATCACAAAGGTTTTTTTTTTTTTTATAATTTAGATCGTATTTTTTGAGAATATTGAAACATTTTTTAAGTAAAAAAACAACAGTGTAATTAAAAAAAATATATATTCACAAAAATTTCTAGAAAATGATAAAAAAAAATTTTCGAAACAAATTTTCGATAAATTTTTCAAAACAATTCCCAAAATACAATTGTTTCAAAAAAAAATCTTGATATTAACAATTAATAATTATGCAATCAATTCAATTCATTTTCTCCCCCTCCCCCTATTTTATTATTAATTAAAATCCCCTAATGCGTCTATAAAATGAATAGTAATAATAATTTCAGTAAAAGATCCTAAAAACCTAGACGCCACGAAGAAAGAAGACCGAGAGACTTCTTCGAAATGATTTTTTCCGCATTTTATTGATGGTCAGGGCATCCATTAATCAAATGGAGATTTTTTTTTTCTCCGATCAGTTGAATAAAATCCGCGGTAGAATCGCGCTCTCGTCGGGAGGTCTTTGATCAGTTCCAGTCGTAGTGCAGAGACCCTGGATGACTCCATGCCCGATAAATCCGATGATTTTTGCGGTGATTTTTTTTTCTCGTTCCCCTTGGAAGAGAGTCTGGATCATTTCAGCAATTTATGGTACTTGATTGAGACCGCTACTGAGACTATATTCAATGAATTCCGTTCATGAGTTTGTGCACTCGGATCTGGTATTAAAAAATTTTTAGTATCAATATTGATTATTAATAAATAAACTCTTCCATGAGACCCCTAGAAAAATTTAGAGAAAAGTGAATAAAGGCAAGAGCTACAGGATTTATCTTTCTCTTCAGAAAGGATTAGCTAAAAGCGAATTGAATTATGAAACAATTATAATTATCAAACCAAGAGCTGAAGCTTGGCTGCCAGTACTGGCCCAATTATGGGAATATCGTTAACGGAATCACTAACTACCGAACCATCCTGACCTCAAAATGTATCGGCATTTGCGATAACAATCACCGCAAGTCGTGACAGCAATACGAGACATTTATATCCTGTTTAGGTTATTAAATGCATCGCCGAGTGTACGACGAGAGATAGGGGAAGAGTTTAAGTCGAAAGAAAAGAAAAAAAAAATATCCGAAGAAAAAGGTAAAAAGGTGCATGTGGGCCCGAGGAAGCGCCACCCCATGCACCACAGGAATGCCCGATAGTGCGGCTATTACCTCTCGGCACGCCATGCCAATTTCAACTTGTTTCATCTTATTCTCATCCTGAACGTTCCCTCTTGCTGAGGATGCACTCCTTCATTGCGAAAAAGAGAGGTCTGATTCCCATCTCCACGGTAACTATTCCCTACCTCCTGGTGGAGGGATAAAAAATGGAGGCTGATTTGTTAAATGCTCTCCTCTCGGTTCAATGAATTTTTTATCGGGATGAAAAAATTTGGGAATAAAAAAAACATGTAGAAGGATAAAAGTATTCAACTCGCGATAGAGTATTTGCAAAACTATTATCGACGTGCTTTGAGTCTTTCATCACCCACTCCGAGGATCGTAAATACCTCGGTACAACCTCCCCAGGGCAGTGTGCAGTGCGCTTAACACTGTAATTTCGTAGTATTTTTCATACCGGACCCATGTGGGCTGGATATGTTGCTTTTTGCACGTATTCCTCTCTGACTCGACCGTTCATTTTTCCATCCTCTTTTTTATCGCTGCTAATTCCTGAGCATAAAAATCATATTCATAAAACTTCGAAATGGAAATGCCGGTTTAATGAGAGGATAATTGATATTACGTAATCGAAAAAATATTCTGAAGGGAGAAATCATCATCCCTTATTTTTACTCATCAAAGTGAAATTAAAAATTCAAAGAAATTTCTCGTCAATTTGTAATTTGTCAATTGGAAATTATTCAGAAGTTTCCAGGGTAATTTTCAATGGGTAAAATGGAGAGTTTTATTAATTTTGGAATGATTTTTTCTTGGATCTGTTTTATGAGAGGAAAAATGGGGTTGAGGAGACACTGGGGTGAGAGGTAATAACCCGAAGAGGCCACTGTAGTGTTACGACGTAACACAACCCCCTTAAACGACACCAGCATGAAATCCACATAACCAGATACGGTTATACCAGAAATATCCGAAAAAAAACCGTACGGCGATCGGTTTGACGTTTCCATTTCAATGTTCCGCTTGCCCGGGCGTAAAAGTGGTGAAAATATCCATTTATTGTTTTCTTTTACCGAATAGAAAGCCATTTTCAGGCAATTCAATATACATTTTTTATCTCTCCAACAATAAATTAATTTCGCACATTATTTATTTATCGTGTTTACAGTGTGAAAATTTTTTCGTCAATGCTTTTTAATTTTGAGGACACCAATGAAAAACTTGAGTCAATTAATTTATGGTACGTTTTTATTTCGTTCTTGTATATCATAGATATAGCTTATGAGTATAATTCTACATCAAGTTTCGAAAAAATGGATACATTTACATTCATTGTCAATGGGTTTACTCGTCATCGTTACCTCGCACATAGCCTTCCTCATCACTCATTAACCTTTTTAAACTCATAGTGATAATACTAATGTTTTTTTTTTATTTTTTTATTTCAATAAGTCAGCAGATACGAGATTCGTCTCCCTCCCATCTCCACAATCATTTGCTACTCCTTTATTTTAACGACTTAACGCGTTATGGTATTGTAGAACAGCTACGGTATTTTTTTTATTTTTTTCCTCTTAAAGTAAATTGCGTTACATTTAATTAGGTATTTTCGTCGTGGACTTGTGAGGTGGAAATATTTCAAGGTAGTTTTGTTTAATCACTAAACGACCCTTCGTTTCCATTCCCAATACCACTGTATCAGTTTAATATTACGTTATGTCAATATTTACATCGAGAATTATGGAGTAATACACGGGGCTCGTCCGTCTAGGGTAGGTACAGCAAAGACAACACGCAAGACGAATCCACGTTGGACAGAAATATTTCATTGTGTAGTTTTATTTATTTTTTAAATTCTTCTCATTATTTATTTCTATTTGTTTTCATTAAATCTGTTTTATTTGCACGACAGACTGGGTACCGAGGGTTCTTCCATCTTCACTCACTAATGCACTAAACTTTTTCAATTCTCTCGACAAATTTTTTAATCTACTAAAATTTCTTGAGCTGCTCACTTTTCAGTACGGGACTAAAAAAAAATTATAAGCCAAGCAAATTTATCACGCTAATGTCCTACTCCCGTTAATTAATCATCTCTATTAATCATTTTTTATTCAATTCCATATCAACGAATAACAGCTGCCTAGTCAAGGGAAATGTAAACAAAATGAATAACACTCGTATCACTCATTCTCACTAACGAAATCACTATTTTACAACTGATAATTTTGGCAAGAAACGATGATAGTGTTTCGTATCGCTCACGAGAACAATTAAATTAATATCTCAATTAACAATGACGAGTTTTAGTTACGTATATGGTATGTTTGTTTCATCTGTTTCAATTCTCGCCACAAGCTGCATGATTTTAAAAATCATCGTATTGATAATAACGAGCGCAAAATAAAGTCACTGGGTTGTTTCCTATTTTTAAAAACATCAGAGGTTCTCCATAAACAATACTCATTAATTTATCCAATTGAAAATAGCCCACACAACACTATATCCTCGCATTCTCACTCTTTCTATCGTAACAAAAGTAAATAAAACAAATACGAAAAAAAAAAATAATAATAATACGTAAATAAACAGTTTTCATAAATAAACAATTATCTATAAGTAATGAAAAAATAATATAACAAACAATTTTTCAATCGATCGGGCGCTCCGTGAGACGGATTTCGACTATTAGAATTTCTAATTGTTATAAATTACAGGTTTTTTCTTCTATACATTATCAGGGATATCGATAGTTCACTGGATTGATGACGTATTTATTGTTTATTTTTTTTTTTTTTTGTTTATCCATTAAATCTATATTTATAGTACGCATCGACAGCTCATTGCTCCGATTCGAATTATCAATTATGATCTGTTTATGGTCAGTGTTGATCACTCGGTTTATCGGTTCCTTTATCTTTTATCTCTGTTTACTGCTAGCTCAATTACCTTTAATTCGAATGAGAGAAGTTGTCGCGTTTCTTTCAGCTGGACCGAGTATTTATAATGAACTCTTTTAGCTGTGAGTCACGAGGTTTGGCAAGTCGGGCACGTTGTACTATATTAAACGCATCTCGCTGGGTCTTTCCTCGTAATTAATTACTTAAATTTACATGGATATCCAGGTTGATATAATACATTCATTATATGGGGATAAGAGCGAAGATTAAATTTTTAGGAGCGAGTTTTCATTTCAAGTTGGGATGAAGTTTATATTTCGGAGGGTCTCAGAGGTTTTTGGGGAAATGTGATATGATGGTTCGGCGATTTGCTCAAAATTCATTACCTGGATTATTTTATTTCCTTGCTTTTTTTTTTTCTATTTCATTTGATATTTAACGGGCCAATTGAAAGCTCAAACGTGGACGGCGCCCGCTTTATAATTTCTTTCTCGAGACAAGAGATTGTGAAAATTTTCGTGACTCGGGGTAAATTGACGCGGGAGAAAAAATCATTTGTTCACTAAATTGAAACGAACTAATTAAGAGGCTAGTGATTCTAATTAAACCCTAACTCTCCCGTATTCCAAACGATTATCCAAGAAGATCGGACGTAATTGGCAACACTGCACCCCATCGCCATTATTTCACGTGTATTTTCCCTAATCAACGGCATAACATCAAACGTAACTTGCAATAATTGATCATAATACAGTATCGATATACAAAGCTTCCTAGAAATAGTGATAGTACCTAATATCAGCCCTCAACCCCCTCGTAACAAACTCTTCCACGTTGCAATATCATTGAATAATTTCAATCCAAGAGTGACAAATTGTTTGATTTCAGCCGTATACATTGTAGAGTGGGTATTGCAGGCGCGATCACACTTTTTTGACGTTTCGATTGTTCATCGAAATATTTTTGCAAATAGCAACTGAGTAAAATGAATTTCAAATAATTAACCTCCGCCTATACACGATACACTTATCCATTAACTGATAGAGTGCGCAGAGCGAAATCGATATTTCTTCATACTATAATAATAATTATGCTGTAGTTATTTACTCACTATATTTATATGTACGCGATCAACCGGGTATTCTGTTCGTCGTAATGAGTTGCTTCCATGTCCCTCCGTTTATCTATTTTCATCAGTTTTATTAATTTAGCTCGTCAAACCCGTTGATTACGTTGAGATTCCTCCTCTATGTTAATTATACTTGAGTTTATATCGTGCGGAAAAAACACGCGCAGCTTAATTACATTAGATATTAATTCATTAATCAATAACAGTTATGGTTTACGAGCACTCGGTAGAGTGATTTCTTTCGCAGGATACCCATGGATACTTTTTTCAAAATTTTTTTTTTCTTCGTTTTTTCTCGCGGCAATGCGTTATTTTTAATACGCACACAATATCGTATTTCATTACTGATTTTTCTTGCAATATAAGTGTTATCTATCATTTAGTCTGTTATATTTTTTTTATATCAACAACGATCGTATCTCAGAATGCACTTGAATTATTGATCTCAGTGAATAATGAGATGCGACAATTGCAGCTTATGCCGAAAAATAGATAATGATTTCATTAGAATTCGAAATGTTTTCATATTTAAAGTTTTCTCACCTCTCATCACTGAATCGTAAATCGTTAATTACCAATAACAGGCTCTATGACTACTGAAAAGGTCTACCCTGACACCAAATTACGTATTTAATGTACTAAGAGTAAAGATACTCGTCCGGGATTTTGTGCCACGTCGGGATGATGTTTATGCAATGGATATCCAAGTGAACAGCGTGGGAAGTGAGAGTCCAATGGTGGAGAGGCTTGCAAAAAAATATAACGTGTAATAATCGTGATAATTGACTTGTAACAAGAAACACAAGAGAAAAGCTGTGCGTGTTGCTTTAAAAACACTCTCAAACAACCGTAAATCAACGAGTTTGAACGAAAACTTTCGATTTGTCTAATCAACTAAATAAAAAAGAAAAAAAAAACAACTTGAACACAATTCGCCTCTCGGTAACAATCATCCAAACAAAATTAACAACTTAGGAGAAAAATCAAATTCTCGAATAAATGACAAATCAAATCAATCGATAGGATTGAAAGAACATGGAGGGATTGCGTCGTGTTAATCACTGATATAATTCCCTTATTGGCACGCTTATTTACGATTCTCTCGTATATTCAGCAAATTCTCGATTCTCCGGTGAATTTTAGTTACAGGCGATACAGGCGATACAGGCGATATCGATGTCAGTTCTCTGGTTGTCAAAGAAGCGGCCCACCTTGAAACTCGACGTTTACACACACCACGAGAATCCGCGTAATCGATACGACCTTCGAGATTCATGTCCACCACCCCCTCCCCCACATTTGTTTTTCGTCTGTTTCTGTACACATGGCCACTTGAAAAAAAAAATGGGAAAAAAAAATTAAAACACGAAACGAAAGGCAAAAAACGCACAGACACCATCGGCCAATGCTGCATCCAGCTGATCCTGAGGAAATTGACCGGTCGACACTTTCACGAGGTGTTCATACGGGGGGGAAAAAAAATGAAGTGAAAAACCAAGAGGAAACTGTTTTCCGGGGCACGTGACACATCGGGCACTGGAGGAGACCAGCGACACGGCGGTGGGTTTGTGCACTAGGTTCAGGGCCATTCAGTCCGTGGTGAGGTTAATCCTGGGTTTGTTTTTTTTTTTTTTTTATTTTGTTCGTCAATGGGGACTTGCTCCATTCTTCCTTATTTCTCGATTAAAAAATACATTCTAAGAATCAGTCAGGCGTGGCTGCCAGCTCTAGTTCGGCACGTAGATTTGTAACCAGCTGGACAACCAGGTAAGTACGTAGATCGAGGATTTACTCAGCTCCGATTTAGGGGTTCATCGTGATGATGATTGGTGCCACCCTATGTCTGGACTTTGCTGACTGCCTTGAGGAGATCACTCTGGGCTTTGTCGAGACCGGATACGTGATGCTGCTGATGCTGAAGCCCCTGCTGCTCCTGCATCTTCGCCTGCTTCTCGGCTTGCTGTTTCTTCATCATCTCTTGCTCCTCGCGCTCTCTTCTCGCTTGTTCGTTGATCTCCTTCACCGCTCGCAACTCCTTTTTCAATTTCATCCGTCGATTTTGAAACCAGATTTTAATCTGTCTTTCTGTGAGACACAGGGCGTGTGCTATTTCTATTCGTCGTCGTCTCGTTAGGTAATGGTTGTAATGGAACTCCTTCTCGAGCTCGAGGGTTTGAAATCGCGTGTACGTCTGTCTACCTCGGCGCCTCGGACAGCCGTTAGGACCTGGAAGGAAATTATCAGCTATTATTTTTAAGTCAGATATGTCCTAATTTTTAAAGAGTTGTGGGACTTTTGCTTCCCCGTTTTTCGAGTCTTCAATTTTCCACCCATGGACATTTTTTTTTTCTCTCACCCGGGTATCCCTTGATGGCTGTCACAAATCTTGGACGGTTTTTTGTCATGACATGGGCCCTTTAACTTTCACCTGGACAAAAGAGTAATTCCGTTGGGGCCGGTTTATTGCAGGGGTTGAGGTCCAGTGGAAAAGGGAAAATAGAAAGTTCTCAGTCGGTTGGGGAAAAAAAAAAGGAGCATTGCCCGGTT